AGTGGTCAGGACAGCTGTGGATGCCATTTCTAAGGTTTGTGTGATTTGAATTTTCATAAGTCATATTTTTACTAAAACATTACTACATAAAGGAATTCTAGGGTGAATCCTTGTATGAATCTCTCAATATATCTTGAGTTTTAATATTTGGAGTCTGTTTAAAATGGAATACATGTATTCATTTGGATTTGGCTTTATCTTGGAGATAATCCTGAGTCATGCTTTCGAGAAGTTGCTTCTTTGATTAAGAGCTCGGATGTCTGGTTGTTTCTGTAAAAGCCAGGTGTTCCCTTTTACCTGTAATTCTCTCTTCTAGAACTCTGGAGATAGGAGGACCCCAGGGAGATTGGGAACAGATTAAGAGACCGTGTCTCCCTGTCTCCGTGCCAATGCTCTAAGTTAACTTGTGTTCACACTGTCAAGTTTCTCAGTTTACCACAGGGATTTTGTTTATGCTACTGCCACTAATATTTTCACATTTGTTTTGTAATAGTTGCCAGTTTACAAATGGTTTTCTATTCGTGAGTGCACTTATTTTCTTCTCTGCCAGGAGAGGCTGGGCATAAAGAGTGATTTACTCGGGGTCTCGTAATTAGTTCTAGGAGCAGATTTGGTACACAGATCCTCACCTGTGATGAGTTCTCTTTCTTCTGCACGGGCCTGCATGTGACTTAACCGTAGTCCTGATCTGTTACCCCGTAGGCCAGTTATTACCCTTGTGTTGTGCCTAATTGGTATGATTACTTTTGAGAAGGTGGTATTCTGTTTTATCTTGTGGAAGCTGAGGATAAGAGGGACTTTATGATTTTGTAACTATTTGTAACAGCTCTTTAGTATTTAAGTCACTTTTCAACCTAGAGTGCCTTTCTTCTAGACCACATGGAGAGAGGAGAGAGAGAAAAGAATTAGTTTTTGGACAGAACAGTCCATTTCTGTAGCGGCTATGGTTAAGGATAACTATAATCATTTTCTCCTTGTGTGCCTGGCTCCTTGAGCCAGCCTGTATGTGAATGTTAACTCAAATGACTCCTTTAGATGTCGCTGAACTAGTTACTATAAAAAAAAAAAGTATTTCACTTTCAAACTCCCACGTTTCAAGAAGAGAGAAATTCAGTACAAAAGTAATTTTGAAGGTGTGTATAGATAGATTGTATTCCATGTTCTTTTCTGAATGCCAGACAGAAAGATTTCAGTAAAAAAGTGTTTTAAAAGGGCTACCTGGAAACTTTGGGAAAGCAGTAGTTACAAGTTTTTATTATTTATTCAAATTTGAAGGTGTGTATTGCAATATATAGGTTATTAGATAGGAGCAGAACTTTTGTCCTGGAGAATTCTTAGTCCGTAGCAGAAACAATAAACCCAGAATATTTGTGCTAACTTAGTTCATCATAACCATAAAGCCTGCAATTGGAATTATGGAGTGGTCAGGAGAATGATTTTCAGGGGTTCTTAGATTGTTCTTTAAGTCATTAGCTTGTTGAATTGTGCATTTTTCAAATTTGCTACTTTAGAAATTGTATAGCAATTTCTTTTAAGGCTTTTATAATTCTTTGGCATGTGTTTTCCTTAATGTAATTATCTGCTAACATTACACTGTCAGAATTTATACGTTAGTCATAATTAACTTTTGAAGCTAAAACGTGGGTGAATTTTCAGTGCTGCTTTTTATTCTTTCGCAGCAGTCAGCTGGTTGATTCCACAAGAACTTTATTTGCGCCATAGGTCAGATCTTTTCAGGTGAACTGATTTTACTGGGACAGAAGCCTTTCTTTGAACTTTATAATTGTGCTTGGTTGCGTTCACTGTTGTTTAAAACGATCCTTAGTAAGAAAAGTCACTTTAAAGGAAAATTTTTTTCACTGTTATCCTCATAATCTCCATTCCTGGCAAATTTTCTGAAATATTAGATTTTTCTTTGTCTTCATGAAGTAAAACAGGCCCATTTGATGCCCATTTCAAGATTTTCCTTCTGCCGCCTGTGTTGTGGTCCTTTAATTTCTCACTAAGCCCTCCACTGGAGACTATGCCAGAAGGGAGAGAAGATGAAAAGCAAATGAATCATTTTCTAATTGTTAGCAGCTCTGGAAAATGACTTAGTAGAAGATATTGAAGCCAGTCCGGAAATTCTTTTGGATTATGTTTTATTTCATTCATCTGTATTGTTTCTGAGATGTTCTAATAGTCATCAATTCACAGGTTGATTAGCTATTGGATGACTAGTAATCTTGCTTTTTTTGGTTTGTTTCTTGCTATATCTAAGCATCTCCACAGTGGGTATTTAGAATTTAAGAGTGGAGATAGAAATCTAAACTAATCAATACTGTTTTTTCCCTTTGAGCTCTTTAGTGAACCATTTGATTTTTGGGGACGGTTTAGTTGTTATTATTGGAAATGACTAATAGTATTTTGTTTTATTTTGACATATGTTATACACAAATGAAGGGAGGCTTTTTTTTTAATGGGCTTATATAGATTCCCATAATTGCTTTCCTCAATTATTAAGCTTGAGGTTTCATTACATCTTTGTACCGGAACAGAACTTCGGCTTTTGCTGTGGAACAGCTTCAGGGGCATCATCTAATTTTCTTTTTACGATTGCTCAGGAAGTTATCTTGTTTTGATTTAGTAGGAAAAAAAGTGGGGGGAAAAGGATTAATAGTGGATAGTCCTTACACAACAGCTGTTAACTCTGATGCTGTCTGGTTATTTCCTTGTCTTTGGTCTCTCATTTCTCATTTAACTGTTTGAATATTCATGCATTGGACTTCTTCACTTAAGAGAGAGGACAGTAGCCTTCAGTCTTACGTGTGAGTAGGTGCTTGCTGTTGTGCCTCAGGGGAATTTTGACTGCTCACTTTGACTGAGTTACTGTTAAATTTGTAAATAAATCCTCACTAGGTGGATGGGGTTAATAGATGGCTGTAGCAAGGGGTGGTTTACGTCAATCCTTTTGATTTCTTGTTTCTTGGATTCTGTTCTTTGGATTTCTACCCAAGAAGGGGTTTATGGAAAGATCTAGAGTAGGAGTCAGAAAACCCAGGTTCTTATTCAGTTACTTTCTGGCTGTGGGGCCTTGAGCAAGCCTCTCAATCTGCTGTTTCTCTGTTTTGCATCTCTTGAAGGGGGATAGTAATTCATGCTCTGCTTACTGTATCAGGACTGTTGTGGTGGGAAAAAGCGCCCTTAAATTGTTTCTTTATTCTGCAGTCCCTTTTCAGGTTGTTTTAATATTCCTGCAGAATTCTACTGAGCAAGCTCTTCCCGGAAATCCTCCATTTTCCCATTTGGAATTGTTCTTGCTCTTTTTTCCTACAGGCCTCTGCCAGTCCACGTATTACATAGTACTTTTGAATTCTGTTCTGTACTTCAGTTGTTGCACGCTGCCTTCCTTCGTAGATTGAAAGCTCCATGAGGGCAAGGATAGTACCTTTCCTGTTTCTGTATACCTGCATTGCACATGAACTTCTCCAGTAAATGTTGGTTGACTGAATTATTTTTGAAGCTGTCAGGAATGAATAATTTGAGTGATGGGCAAATTTCAAAGGTGAGCATCTTTCTCAAACTTTTGGATGACTGGCCTTTTAAGTCTGTCTGTTGTATCAGCAGCTGAATCAGATGTTCGTAATACAAATCAGTAAAGCCTGTTTCAGTGGTTCTGTTTACTTCAGATAGTGTTTGTGAAGCGAGTCGGAGGAATGAAAGGTTGTCACAACAGCCCTGAATTTGGCATTTGTTTCATTTCGCACCCCAAAGATGTGGAGACCTCTATATCCAACTGCTGAGTGTGGAGAATAAAACTGCACGTTGTCTGGTCCGCATTTTAGCTTGTTTGCTTTGAAGAATTTGCAAGGTAGAGAAATAGATGCTTCAGGCTCTGATTTCAGCCCCTGCTGCGCTATGCAAATGTTCTCTACATGCCTGAGTGACCTTTTGAGAAAGAGCCTTTGTGATCTTTTGTAGCCAGGGCCTGTTCTGGGAATTAGTGTGCCAGATTCCTCTAAAAGTGGGAAAAGTGAATCTGTTCAAAGACCATGTAAAAAAGACAGCACTTTTCCTAGATAAATACCGATATGTCCGTGTTTCTTACTGTCTCTTGCCAGAGCTTTTGAAATTGGTCTGGAGTTTGCTTTGCTGGGTGATTTGGGGAATGATGTGTGTGAGAGGGAACTGACTAAAGCAATTCAGTAGCTGGGGACCCGTTTGTTTAAGTGCTTTTGAATTGTAGATACAGATAAATTCAAACTGGCATCATTAGTATCTGGGTGTTTATCAGTGTCTTCAGGCTGACTCTCCTTAAGTGCCGGCTGAGTGACTCTCAAACAGGTTTGTAAGGTTCTTTTTGCCCCACGTTGTGCTCTAATGGTTTGGCATTTAAATTGCTTTCTGTTTGATTTGATTGTACAAAATGAAATGTATCATTATTAAAAGTATAGTTAGTTTTTTATATTGTTGTAAAAGAAATACCATTCTGATGTTTTTCTCTTGGAAAGAGATACTGGTGTCTTGGAGGTTTATGTTTTTAGATGCCTTTACTGAGATGTTTAATGTATATAGTTGAAATGCTGATGAAAAAATTTTCTCTTTCTCCCTTTCTCTTAAACAACATTTTTGGTGAGGATTATCATAGGTTTGTACCAGGATAAGATTGTAGAATTAAACATAATGTTCTCCTATGGGAATTCTAAAAATTGAATTTTCGAAGAAGATAGGTAGGATGTGAATGACTGGTTTACTTATTAGGTTCTGTCTTCTTCTATAGGTATAGGATGACTCACTGTAAAGATGGCCAGTCTCTTAGGTACCCACAGTGGTAAGGATGGGGCACCCATAGAAGGCCATAGAGGAGTGCTTTCTTCCCAAGGTCTCTGCCCGGTAGCAGGTTTTAGTTGAGCAAAGATGAGTAGTTTTCTGGTGTTTGCCTGCTCTTTTGGGTGGGAAAACCTTTCCTCTCTGTTTTCATAGTTACATGCGCTATCACATGTCTTTTTCTCTTCTCTAAGTTTCCCTGGAACCTGGGCTCCCCGAGACGCAGCAGTGGAGCAGATGGATAATGGAGACTGGGGCTATATGGTGAGAGGCTTTTGCAGATGCATTTTGAAGGCTGGCAAATTATTGTTGTGTGTCTTTCCCCCCCTTTTATGTAGTCTTAGATATAATACCTCTTGTAAGAATAAAAATTATAAATGGTGCAGCACCCCTCCCCCCCCCACCGCGCGCCTGGCTCCCATAAGTTGAAATGTATCTTTTTGGGTGTTTTAATTTTGTTTGGTGTTTTTAGTTAAGCAAGCTCAAGTGGACTCTCCATGTAACTTTTTATAATCACTTACTTGAGAGAGATCATGAGGTTTTGATCTCTATGTTGCTCTTAAAAAGCTCTCTTCATAGAACAGTGACGATTAAATGTCTAGTAGGTGATGAGAGGACATTTTCTTGTGATTGGGAAGGTGCCACTTCTCCCACTAGCACTTTTTGTTTGCATGTGCATGTATCTTTCTCTTTTCTTTTGGTAAGAATTATTTTACTTGCTTAGTACCTGCCTTTGCTTGTCTGTCTTATTTAGTTCCTTAAACATGATTTCTAAAACCAAAGGTATGTATTATCTAGAGAAGCTTGTCTTTTAAAAATTAAAGGTCAGATTGCAACATGAATGTTACTAAAGTGAATACACTATCAGATTATGAAATTTGAAAGCTGCTTTTATTAGCCTTTGGGTATATGAGATTGTGTTGACCAAAGTGTGTATTTAATTTAGTACGTTTTATTTGGCACTGTTATTTCCATGAAAAAGTTAGGATTAGGTCTGCACAGATTTTCATTTTGAAAATAAATTTCACGACCCCCCCTTTTTTTGAGGGGGAAAAGACAAAAATATTGAAAGTAGATATCCTTATGTTATCAAAACATTTTTATTCTATTTTATATTAAATTGAGTTAAGAAAAATGAAAGTCTCTTTTTTCAAATAGGAAATATATTTTAGGAGTATATTTTAGTTTGGCCTTTTCCTTCCTGTGATACACTCTGACCTGAAAACTCTCTAGATACTGGGCCTGAAATTAAATGGCTTTGGAAGTCATGCCCTCCTTTTTTCACGTAAGGCTTTAAAGAATTAGATTTACCTCTTTTTTCTAATCAAAGCAAATGTTACATCCCTTCATGTGAAAGTAAAGCTGTTTTGCATCAGTGGATTGCTAAGTATGTTCCAGCCTGAAAGAATCTTTTGCTTTACTTGTTACCACTAATTTTCTTAATTTGTCAAAGTTAGGATTTAAAAAATTTTCAGATTACTGATCATTTTTTAAAAAATTTCAGATGACTGACCCAGTCACGTTAAATGTAGGTGGACACTTGTACACAACATCTCTCACCACGTTGACGCGTTACCCGGATTCCATGCTTGGAGCTATGTTCGGGGGGGACTTCCCCACGGCGCGAGACCCTCAAGGCAATTACTTCATTGATCGAGATGGACCTCTTTTCCGATATGTCCTTAACTTCTTAAGAACTTCAGAGTTGACCTTACCCCTGGATTTTAAGGAGTTTGATCTGCTTCGGAAAGAAGCAGATTTTTATCAGATTGAGCCCTTGATTCAGTGTCTCAATGACCCCAAGCCTTTGTATCCTATGGATACTTTTGAAGAAGTTGTGGAATTGTCTAGTACTCGGAAGCTTTCTAAGTACTCCAATCCAGTAGCTGTTATCATAACCCAATTAACCATCACCACCAAGGTCCATTCCTTACTAGAAGGTATATCAAACTATTTTACGAAGTGGAATAAGCACATGATGGACACCAGAGATTGCCAGGTTTCCTTTACTTTTGGACCCTGTGATTATCACCAGGAAGTTTCTCTCCGGGTCCACCTGATGGAATACATTACGAAACAAGGTTTCACGATCCGCAACACCCGAGTGCATCACATGAGTGAGCGGGCCAATGAGAACACAGTGGAGCACAACTGGACTTTCTGCAGGCTGGCCCGGAAGACGGATGACTGACCTCCTGTCCTGGGAGAGGCTCCTGGGAATGGACTCTCCAGGAGACGGAAGAGGCTGATTTTTTTTTTAATCAGTGTGAGTTTTTTTTTTTTTAATATTTGTATTTATTTGAAGGCACTGGGGACCAGAAGGAAGTTTTGTGCTTTAGCAGACTCCTCTATGTTTTGTTCCCTTCACCCTGAGTATGCATGTGCCTGTTCAGAGCCTCCAGATACCTTTTTTATAAAAAGAAGTCTGAAAATCATTATGGTATATAATCTACCCTTAACAGAGCTTTTTTTATTACAGTGCAAAAATGTTTTCTGATTAAATAGTCCCTAACTCAACTAGAAGGCTAAAAATGCAGGAATGAAAGAATAAACAAAGTACTCATGATGCCTTTGAGAAAAATCAAAACATCGTGTAGGGTGACCTAGTTTTCAGACCAATAAACAGTATTGTGATATTGAAGGAGAACTGTTCCAATCATTTAAAAGTACTTGTTAAGTACTGCTTTTTACAGTTATGACAACTGTTTCTTTCTATGCATATAAATCAAGCAACCAAATATCTGTAGCCATGGAAATGTCGGATAGAAATATTTATATTGGATTCTGAATACAAAATGTCCTTGTGGTAGAAATCTTACGTCCTATGCCTGGTGCAGTATAATTCCCAACTGTACTGTCTACCAGAAAAAAAGCTAATAAAAAATGAAATATGAAAATTAGGTTTGTATTTGTTGATTATTGTCAGTTCAGGGGGAAGACGATATTTCTTGTCTAAAGTTTTTTTTTTCCCCCTAATGTCCCAATAAATACTGCCTATAGCATATTTGTATTTGATTCAGGAGGACTCCATGGAACTTTAGGATGCAATTTATAGAATTCTGTGCTGTTGAAGCAGGGAGTTGATAGAATTACTAGTTTTGTCTAAAAGAGTGCATATCTGTACTGTGAACATCAGTTTGACGCATTTTTTCCAAATAGGACTTATTTTGAAGATTGCGGATTTTTCTTTAGTAAGCCACCTGATTGTCATTGCTCTGTGACCCTTATTCTAGCTTTGTGTTGAGCACAGGGACAAACTGACTCTTCAGCCTTTTTATTCTTGTATGTTATGGTGACCCACAAATGTATTTTATTATTGAAGTTAAGTTTATTTCTGAGGAGAAGAAAACTGCATTGAGTGAAGGATCTGGAACAGTTGGAGATGTAGTGTACTTTTATTTATTTCACAATAGTCTTACTTTGCATAGTTCATTTGATTCTATTTCTTGAAAGTTACTCAGAGGAAGGATTCACCATCTTCAAACTAAAATTCCTTTATGTTATTGGCAGGTTGCTGTGGTTTCAGTAAATGTGCTAGGATGAGGTTATCTTTTTAGAAAATTGTCTCCTACTTCAAATTGATGAGTAGTTACCTAAAAAAGAAACCATGAGAAAAGAAACAACCCATCCAGTTAGGTGTTGATGAGTTAGCTGAGGTGAATGCAAGATAAAATTACTTGGATTGAAAACAGGTATGGGAATGGGAATAATATTAGTTGTTACAAGGTTTTAAAAGTTAAACATTTATGAGGTCTCTTCCTTACCCAGGTTACTGGAGATAGGTTTGCTTTTGGTAAATTTTCTTGGATTTATAAATTATTAAAAAGTGATTTTTTTATATGAGTAAATTAGGAAAAGTAGCCAACTGAGATTTTATGCAGTTTACTTTGTTTGATGGTATTTAATTTTAAGTTTTATATACTTAGGTAGTTGAAAATGATGTGAAAAATGTAGCTTGATTATATATGGGCAATTTGAGACAATTATGTCTTTTATGAAATTTTACATAATTTTTAGTGTAGAAGGGTTGATTTTTAAACATTTATATTACTTGTATTCCTAAGGCTCTTTTTTTTTCTTTTCATTTTTTAATTGAAATATCATTGACACACAATATGATGTTAGTTTCAGGTGTACAACATAGTGATTTGAATTTATATACATTGTGAATTGATCACCGTAAGAAGCCTGGTAACCATCTGTCACCATACAAAGTTATTACAGTATTACTGACTATTCCTAGTGCTAAACCTTACATCCCATGGCTTGCTTATTTTGTAACTGGAAGTTTGTACCGGTTAATCCCTTTCACCTATCTCCCCTCCCTGCCCTCAACCACCAGCTTGTTCTCTGTATCTATGAGTCTGTTTCTGTTTGCTCATTTGTTTTTTAGATTCCACGTATAAGTGAATCATATGGTACTTGTCTTTCTGTGTCTGATTTATTTCACTTAGCGTAATACCCTCTGGGTCCATCCATGTTATATACATTCCACTGTATATATTCCATTGTATATACACACCACGTCGTCTTTATCCATTCAGTCATCTACTGTGGACACTGAGGTTGCTTCCATATCTTGGCTGTTGTAAATAATGCTGCAGTGGCTATAGGGGTGCATGCATCTTTTTGAATTAGTGTTTTTGTTTTCTTTGGATAAATAACCAGATGTGGAATTGCTAGATATATGGTAGTTCTTTTTTAATGTTTTGAGGAACCTTTATACTATTTTCCATAGTGGCTGTGCCAATTTCCATTCCCTCCAACGGTGTGCAAGAGCTCCCTTTTCTCCACATCCTTGCCAACACTTGTTATTCGTTACCCTTTTAATGACAGTCGTTCTCACAGGTGTGAAGTGGTCTACATTTTATTTAGATTATAATAAGTATAGGCTCTTTTGGAGGAGGAGTGTGTGTGTGTATGTGTGTGTGTGTGTGTGTGTGTGTGTGT